CCCACTAGATCTTTTCCATTTCCTTTCCAGCCTCCCGCCACAAATCAAATTGTGTTTTACCTCCTTTAGAAACACTTGTGATTTTAAAGAGAGTTTACAGGAAGGATAGGTTTTCTTCATTCACTGATACACATTTTCCTCCCTCTCCTCCCTCCCCCCTTCCCGTAATTCACCTTGTAGTGCACTTCTTACTCCAGATTATAGTTTTACCTTCTTTTTGTCAATATGGATGGCTTTTTATTCCTCTTGCTTTACTGATATAGCAAGGACTTCCAATATAATATTGGATAGGCATGGTGATAAGAGGGCTCCTTTTCCTGGTCGCTGTCTACAAAGGAATGTCTTTAGCAACAGGTGCTGGATTTTTGTCAAAAGCCTTTTCAGCATCAGTTGTTTCATTGATGTGGTGGATTACATGGATTGTTTTTCTTATGCTGAACCATACCATCTTTGCATGCCTGTTGTGAATTGCACTTATTGATGTTGTTATATACCATTGAGTTGCCTGCGACTCATAGTGTCCCTACGCATAACAGCTGTCCTTCCTCCCAAGCATGATGGACTTCTCCAAGGACTGGTCCCTCCTTGGGCAACATGCCCAAATTATGTGAGACAGAGCTTTAAAACCCTTGCCTCCAGAGATCAACTTGGTTTAATTCTCTTCAGGACAGATTAATTTATTCTTTTGGCAGTCCACGGTGTGTTCAAGACTCGTCTCCAGCACCACAACTCCAAAGCATCAATTATTTTTCTGTCATCCTTATTCATTGTCCAGCTCTCTGATGCATAGCATTTAATTCTGAAGACCATGGCCTGGATCAGGCACACTGTGGTCTTTAGACTAGTATTGCTGCTTTTCAGTACTCTGGAAAGGCCCCTGACAGCAGATTTTCCCTGGGCAATTCATCCTTTGATCTCCTGGTTGCTGGTGCTAAGAGTACTGATTGTGAAACCAAGCAAGCTGAAACTGTTCACAATCTCAATCTCTTCTCCATCTATCATGATGCTGCCAATTGCCCTAGTGGTTGAGAATCTTTGTTTTCTTGATGTTGCACTTCAGTTCATATTAAAGACTACAGTCCTTGATCTTCTACTGCAGACACTTCAGATCCTATTCAGTTTCAGCAAGGAAGTCTGTGTCATGTACATCCTCCCATTCTGATGTCACATTCCTCCCCATGAAGATCAGCCTCCTGAATGATCTGTTCTGCATACAGACTGAAAAGGTATGGAGACAGGTTGCATCCTAATGCACGCCGATCCTGATTTTAAACCATGCAGTGTTTCCTTGCTCTGTTCTGACAACTGTTTCCTGGTCCAAGAATAGGTTTTGTACGAGCACAATCAAGTGTTCTGGATTCCCATTTCTTAGATTTAGCCATAGTTTCTTGTGATCCACAGAGTCAAATGCCTTTGCGACGTCAATAAAACAGACATTCCTCTGATGCTCTCTGCTTTCAGCCAGGATCCATCTGACACTGGTAATGATGTCCCTAGTACCATGGCCTCTTCTAATCCCAGCTTGTTTTTCTGGTAATTCTCTGTCAATATACTGATCCAGTCATTTTGGGAAAATCTTCAGCAAGATTTAGCTTGTGTATGTTATTAGTGATGTTGTTGTTGTTGTTATATGCTGTAGAGTCGCTTCAGCAAGGTTTTGCTTGTGTGTGATATTAGTGATGTTGTCGTTATGTGCCGTCGAGTCGTTTGTGACTCACAGCGACCCTATGTACAACAGCCCTAAACTCTGATCTGTCTTGTGCCAATCGCACTGTCTCTGACACTCCCATCCCGATTATCTGTTCTGATACTGTTTGAAAATTTCCACACTGTCAGATGGTTTGTTTTGTTTTAAATGAGAATAAATATAGATCTCCTCCAGTCAGTTGGTCAGGTAGTTGTCCTCAAAATTCCTTGGCACAACCTGGTGAACACGCCCAGGGCAGCACCTGTTTGCTAAAATATGTCAACTGGTATTCCTAGAGTCTTATTTTCTTGCTAGTTCCATCAGAGCAGTTTGAACTGCCTCCTTCATCACCATTGCCTCTTGGTTATATATTGATTCATGAAATTCTTCTATCTGCCAGTTATTTTTGGTACAGTGACTATGTTTACTCCTTTCATCTTCTTTTAATGCTTCCTTGATCATTCAGTATTATGCCCATAGCATATTTAAGTATTACAACTTGGGGATTAAATTTGTTCTTCAAAGAATTCCTTGAGTTTAAGAAATGCCAACTGAGTTTGTTCCTTTTGATTCTCTGACTCCGTATCTCCCTGCATATTTCATTGTTAACATGTGCTGTCAAGTCGCTTGCAATTCATAGCGACCCTATGTACAACAGCCCTAAACCCTGCTCTATCCTGTGCCAATCACACTACCTCTGACACACCCGTCCTGATTACCCCAGTCACTGAATCAATCCACCTCACAGACGGTCTTCCCCTCTTGTGCCATCCCTCCACCCTCCCAAGCATGATGTCCCTCTCCAAGGACCTGTCCCTCCTTACAACATGTCCAAAGTATGTCAGATGAAGCCCCAGAATCCTTGCCTCCAAGGAGAAGCCTAGTTTAACCCTCTCCAGGATGAATCTGTTTGTTTCTTGGCAGTCCATGGTACATTCAATACTCCTCTCCCGCATAACAAGTGATTGCAAAGACCATGGCCTGTATCAAATGCACCTTAGTCTCCAAAATGACACCATTGCTCTTCAGTACCCTCGAGAAGTCCCTAACAGCAGACTTTCCCATCGCAATACAGTTTTTTACTTCCTGGCTACTGGTGCCAAGAATGTTGACTGTGGAGCCAACCAAACTAAAGTTGTTAACAATCTCAACCTCTTCACCATCCATCTTGATGTTGCCAATTGGTTCAGTGGTGAGAATCTGTCTTCTTGACATTGAGCCTCAATCCATACTAAAGGCTGCAGTCCTTGATCCTCTGCAGCAAGCGTTTCACGTCCTCCTCAGTTTCAGCAAGCAGGGTTGTGTCATCTGCATAACGCAGATTGTTGATGAGTCTTCCTCCAATCCTGATGCCACACTTCTCCTCATAGAGCCCAGCCTCTCAGATAATGTTTTTCTTAATATTCTATACCTTTTTTATTTTGGTTGATTCTATTGTGTCATCAACCATTTAATTTTTTATTCAAGTTATTTGTGTCCTGTCTTTGTTTTTCTTTGTTAGGTTTGTCAATTTTAAATACCCAAGAGCCAACTCCTGATCTTGAAGGTTCAACTGTTTTTCTGTTTTCTATTCCATCTATTTCTCCCTGTATCTTTACAATTTCCTTTTTTCTAAGGGTTGTGGAGTTTGCTTGCTGTTCCTTTTGTTGATGTTGGGCTAAGAAGTTGATTTAAGGTTTTTCTTTCTCTTTGAAGTGTTTGCTTATTGCTATGAACTGACCTTTGAGTACTACCTTCTGCTGTATCCAAGAAGTTCTGTTATGTTGTGTTTCGTTTTTGTTTCAAGAGATATTTCTAATTTCATTTTTTAAATTTCTTCTATTACTCAGCAGTAATCAAGAAGGGTATTATTTCACTTTCAAGTGCACTTTATCTTTTATCCTTTTGTGGTTGATTCAGAATAACATTGAGGTCTGAGAAGATGCTTTACAACATTTATTTATTTATTAATTTATTGAGGCTTGCTTTTTGACCTAACATATAGTCCAGTCTGGAGAATGTTCCATGTGTGCTGGAGATGAATGTCTCTTGAACTTTTGTTGAGTGCATTACTCTTGTATATGTCTGGGAGGGTGAGTTGGTCAATTGTATAATTTATTTCTTCTGCATCTTTGTTGAGTTACTTTTGAGTCACCCTTCAGTGATGTTGAGATAGTAGTCTCCTACTACTACTGTAGTGCTGTCTAGTTCTTCGTTCAAATCTGTTAACATTTGCTTTGTGTATTTTGTAGCTCTATCATTAAGAATGTAGATATAATTTAAGGCTATGTCCTCTTGCTCCATTGACCCTTTAAGCATTATATATTGTCCTTCCTTGTGACTTATGCTGGTTTTTACCCTGAAGTCTATTTTAACAGAGATTAATAATGCCAGTTTTGGTTGTCATTTGCTTGAGCTTGGTATATTTCTTTCTACCCTTTGATTTTTATATGTCTTTATTGTTGCTTCTCAGATATGTCTCTTGTAAATAGTGTATTTTAATTTTTTTAAATTCAATCTGCTATTTTTTTTTCTTTTCACTTGTGCATTTAAACCATCCACATTCAGTGTGATTACTGATAAAGTTTACTGCTGACATATTGTTGGGTCCTTTTTGGAGCTGCTGCTGTTACTTTTCTGTGCTGACTCATTATGATGGATTTCTTACAGTATTTCTTTCAAAACTGGCCTGGTTTTCACCATTTCTCTTAATTTCTGCTTTTCTGAGAAGGTCCTAATCCATCATGTTTCATGGACAGTTGTTTTCTTTCTGAGTTTTTTAGTGCCATCCCATTGTCTTCTTGCTCACATGGTTTCTGCTGAGAAATTAGTGCTTAATCTTATTGGGTTTCCTTTGTAAGTAAATCAGGATGAGGTAGTCCCCACTGTGGACACTCACGATCTGAGAGACCCCACTGTGGACTCTTGGGGTGGATCAGCCCCCACTGTAGACACTCAGCATGGAAGAGCTCCCACTGTGGACACCTGGGATAGAGCAGCTCCCACTGTGTTTGCTCTGGGGGGGGGCGGGGGGAATCTCAGGATTGTCCCATCTGAGGGAGCAGAGGAAGGTCCCTGATACTCTTGCCTCTTGATATCACTACACAGCCAGCACCTCTATCCTCCATGAAAGCATTCCAGAAAGTGGACATTCCAGAGGAGAAGAATGCTGGGTAGATGTCTCCTGTACAGGCAGCCAACTGCCTCTGTATACCCACACACACCAATTCTGCCCTAGCAAGGAAGGAAGCTATGGCAGAGTGAGCCCATGCTGCTGAGGAGACAGCCCTCTCTGACCACTTGTTGCAGGCCGACCTGCCCAACCTGTCCTCACCTGCTGCCACATTCCTCCTTCGTGGCTGTGAACAACGATGGCCGAACTGCTCGACCAAGGGCCTCCTGCGCCTTCTCGCTGGCCTCAGGCTCAGGCTCAAGAGCAGCACTGGGGCTGCCCTCACAGCTGACAGCACTGCCCCGGCCTGGGCTGTTCTCTGCGGAGGCATGGGGGGATTCAGTGTTCTGCTTCAGGGTTTGCAGCTTGGCCAGTGGGATGATGTCACAGTTCTGCGGCCGGTGCCACACGGTGCGCTGGGTGGTGGCATTGTAGTAGTAGAAGCGTGAGGTGTTTGGGTCGAAGAGCTCCCACCACTGGTTCTCGCTAGTACGCTTGATGCGGACGCCCGCTGGCGGGTCCCACACGCATTCACCCGTGACCAGGTTGGCATACATGCGCTCTCGGGTGCGTGGTTCGATGATCTCGACCCATTCCAGCCTGCAGAGGGTCACAAGGTAGAGAAGTCAGAGGGGTCCCGGGTTTGTGTCTGGCCAGAGGTCCTGCCCCCACAGCCCTACCATGCAGAGAAGAGAGCCCAACCCAGTGGCCATTCTGGTGCTCAAGTGGTCAGAATCCCAGGGGCATGCAGCCCTTTGGATGTCACTTCAGTTTTCCTCAACTGGGACAAGGACAGAGGTGCTAGCCCACAGTACAGTGCCTGGCTTAGAGAGGGCTTGCTGGCAAGAGGGGGCAGCCAGGCTGGGGCAAGGGAGGGCCGTGGGCGACCTCTCCACACACTGTTAGTCTGATGGAGTGTGAAGGCAGAGAGCAGAGGGAGTGTCCATGTCACCGCTGAGGCATCTAACTCCTGGGTGGCTGCCTAGGGCTGGCCTTCCTTTCATCAACTGAACCTTCCCTTTCAGGATGGGGCCTCAGCCAAGCAACTCCTACCACCCACGGCTGTGTGTGCATGCCAGGATGCTGGGGGTGTGTGTGTGTGAGAAAGTGAGGACATCCTGTGTGTGTGTGTGTGTGTGTGTGTACATGTGTGTGAGACAGAAAATGAGGACATGTGTGTGAGAAAAAGAGGATGTGTGTGTCAGAGAAAGTGAGGATAACATGAGTGTGTGTCAGGATGTGTGTGTGTGAGAAAGTGAGGACATCCTGTGTGTACAAAGGTATGTGTAAGTAAGAGAAAGTGAGGACACCATGTGTGTGAGGGTGTACTGGGGATGATGTGCTGTGTGCAGGAGAAGTCTCATCCGTACGTCAGTGCGCACACTGTGTCCCTCAGAGGCTAGCATCAGAACTGCTTATGGCTGATAAGATGGGCTGAATGGGACAGGAACAGGGAGACATATTAATATCGACAAAATGAATAACTAACGTATTCCTTAATACACTAGTCTCATTAACATCAGTTACGTTAATAATTCTTGTGTGGGAACCACAGGAAGGGTGTGACCCCAGCCCTCATACCCTAGTGTGGCTGTAGGGTGTTAGCTGTTTAAAGCAACAAGGGAGGTGAAGGAGAGAAGCTGAGGCAGAACACGCTACGAGGGCCATGTTTTGATGAGAAGTTGCCCTGTTGTCCCAAGACCACCACCTTGTCTAGCCTGGGAAACAAAGGGATAAACCCCATCTGAAGTCATCCCACGAGACTCCTGACAGCACCCCCCAAACTCTGGCCCCAAGTCCTTGCAAACAGAAAGGAGATTAACAGCTTTCAGAAAGTGGAGGGAGGGAGCAGCTTCTGTGGTCATGGCGGGGAGCTGGAAGACATGGCTCTGTGGGGACATGGGGGAAACTGGGAGGCACAGGCTCTGTGGGGACATGGGAAGTAGAGTTAGAAGAGACACAGGCTCACTGGGGACATGAGGGTCTGACAGACACAGGCCCTGTGGTGACAAAGGCAGGAATGGAGAGACAGAAGTTCGGGGAGACACTGCTCTGTGTGGACATGGGAGGGGAGTTTGGGAACACAGGCTCTGTGTGGATGTGAGAAGGAATAGAGACAAAGGCCCTGAGCAGACCCGGGGGGATTTGGGGACACAAGCTATGTAGGGATACGGGGGGGGGGGATCTGGGTGACAGGCTCTGTGGGGACATAGGGGGATCCGAGAGACAGGCTCTGTGGGGACACAGTGAGGGGGAGGGATCTGGCAGACACAGGCTCTGTGGGTATTTGGAGGGGGAGTGGAGAAACACAGGCTCTATGGGACACAGTGGGGGAGACAGATTCGGTGGTGACATGGGGGGAAACTGGCAGACATGGCTCTGTGGAGACATGAGAGGAAATGGAGAGACACAGGCTCTGAGGGGACACAGGGGGGTGGGAATATGGGAGACACAGGCTCTGTGAAGACTTGGTTGGGGGAAATTTGTCACACAGGCTCTATGGGGACATGGGTGGAGAGCTGATAGCCATGGCTCTGTGGGGACATGAGGGGAGGTGAAAGACAATGGCTCTTCCTGGCTTAAGAGAATGCTATTAGACAGGAGGAATGGCTGTCTGTAAGAGTCAGGTGCCACAGTCATTAAGCGCTGAGGTGCTAACCCCCTAGTAGCTTGGAGAAGGACCTGGTCACCTGCAGGCCTGGCACCCTGTGTGGCAGGTTCACTCTCTCACGCAGTCACTGCAAGTCAAATAGATTCAAAAGGATAAAAACAATGACTGCCTACAGAAAAAATCACCGAACTCTCAGGAATGAGAATCCCTTCCAAGAGAGTTGCCAAGACATTCAGAAACCCAAGTCAAAGGGGTCACGAGAAGCCTTGAAGTGCCGGGTTAGGTCTCGGGAGCACTGAGAAGGATCGGGTGCTATGGCTGTGGCCACATTTCACCACATCCATCCCTTTCTGTGACAGCACCTCATGTGGCCCGAGGAACTGGAGTCATATCTTTCCTGTTCTAAAACAGAAAGTTTATCTTAAAAAGAATGCATCTCCGTATTTTTGGATGTTAATTTTATCCTTATAAATGGTATGAGGCAATATGCTTGAATTTGCTGCCAGCCAATTTCAGCAGTGCCCTGGTCTTGGCAGGATCTGCTTCCGCCTGGGTCCCCAGAGAGAGGCGTGTCACCTTGGGAGAGAGGAGGAGCGTCATCAACTCAGAGGAGGAAGGGGGGTGAGGAGGAGAGTCACCTCAGGGGGAGGAGCATGGAGAGGGAAGGAGGAGAGAGACCAAGGAGGGGATGTGTGTTTAAGGTAAGGAGTATGTGTGGGAGAAGGAGGGTGTTTAGGTGAAGGAGCATGTTTAGGAGGGAAAAGCATGTTTAGAAGGGCGGGGCTTGTTTAGGAAGGCAGAGCTTGTTTGGGAGGGCGGAGCGTGTTTGGGAGGGAGGAGCGCGGTTTAGGAGGGTGGAGCGCTCTTAGGAGGGAGGAGTGTGTTTGGGGAGCATATGTCTAGGAGGGAGAAGCATGTTTAAGAGGGAGGAGCGTGTTTGGGGAAGGAGCATGTCTAGGAGGGAGAAGCATATTTAGGAGGGAAAAGATTTGAATGCAGAGCATTATTAGGGTGTGGAACTTGTTTAGGGGGAGGATGCTTTCTGGGAGGGTGAAGTGAAGAGAGTCTAAGAGAAGTGTGTGTTTGGGGGCGGTGCATGTTGAGGCAAGAGGAGCTGGGTTCTGAGTTTTGGAGCAAGGAGAATGTTTAGGGGGAGGAGTGCTTTCCTGGGGGAGGAGCATCACGGGTTGAGGGGGATGTCAGTCACCCCAGAGAGGGAAGGAGTGTGTGCGCATGGTCAAGGAGCTTCTCCACCTCACCCTCCTTAGAGGAACGAGTGAGCCACCACCCTCAGACAGTCATGTTGAGGCAATTGGTTACGTGATCCCACCATGGTACATCTCCTGGCCCGTCACTGGGTCATGTCAAGTCACCTGCCACATTACCTTGCTACACCAGGGTGAAGACATGCCCAAGCAGTTGGCATCACAGCTGTGCCACCAGGCAGGTGTCCATGAGGACAAGACGTGGTCCTAGTCTTGGAGCGGCACACGGTGTCCCAGTGGGCAGGACAGCGGGAAAGGGCTACCTTGGGCGAGGGCAAGCAGTCCTTGAGGAGGACTAGGGGTGCCCCAGTGCCCAGGGTAGTGAGGGCTTCTGCTCTGGGCACTAGTGCTTACTGTGGGCCCCAGAGACTGTAATGGGTGACGTAAGCCAGCCCAACATCCTCTACTTTGTACCTCTGGGGCTGATGATGTGCAGATATGAGGGGCCTCCCTGGGTAGCAAGTGACTAGAGCTCTAGAGTATTCACTCTGCAGTTGGTCACTACCCAGGCACTCAAGTCCTGACCATTCATGGTACCCAATGATGGACCTCTGCCTCCCACTTTCATAGCTCAGAGAAAGACTCCCCCAGATGGCCTGTGACAGAGATGCATACAAGCTGACTCTACACTACTCTCCTTTTTGCCTAAAATGCATTCAAATTTATTTGAACATTCTGATCTCTCTATACAGAGAACAACTGTCTGTTCCCTTTTTTAGAGCACTCCCGTACAAATGGGCAGGATACTTTTCCAGAAAAATTTCCAGAAAACTCTTAGCTATCTCCTGGGACACCACCCTGAGACTATCTCGAGGCATGAGAACAGAGGATAGCACAGGACAGGGCACCTCAGGGCACCTGTGCAGAGAGGAGCCTAAGGCTCCCAAGGGTAGAAAACATGTATCCACCCTTCAGAAGCTGTGACTGGAGCTGGTATCAAGACGGGGGCACACTTACCCAGTGTCCTCTGGCAGGGTCTGTCATCTGCAGCTGCACCCTTAACACCCATCAACTCCTGATTCAACTTTTCTTGGCCGAGGGAAGGGGAGGGTGTGAGAAGAGGGGGTGCAAGGAACCTGGCTGCTCTGTCCCTGGTAGCCATGACTTCCATGGGCAATGTGTACAGACCAGGTACCAGGTACCAGGTGTGGTTGAGATCTGTTGGTTTGGGGTCAAGGTCAGATAGTTTTGAGATCTGCCCTCAGAGCCTTCACTGCCAGGATAGGTAGGTGTAAGGACTTTGTTCTGTAGAAATTGACACATCACTACTGATATGGCCAGAGGTATGTTTGGGGAAGTTTATTTGGCCAGTGTTTAAAATGAGAGGGGAAGAGGAAAAAACAAGCCATCTGGTGATGAAGTGGAAGGTTTTGGGGATTGGCAGGCAGGATTTTCTTCTCCTTTCTCCAGGTGCTAGCACTTGAAAAATACTAAAGGCAGTAAAGAGGGTCACTATCTCCTCTCCAGTTTCTTAGAGACTTGCAGCCAAGCTACATTGTTCACATTAATTCTATTACCTGAAGGAACTTAATGAATATGCTGAGTATCTGCACAAGGGTGACAACCAACTCCTGCCCTCAAGTTTCTCAAAACTAGGGTGCCAAGATCAATCAGTCAAAGGGAAAGGACATGTTTTCAACAGTGTCCTGGGACAACTAGAACTCCCATGTTCAAAAGAGCCAGGTGGATGATCTACCTCACACCTCATTCCACACATTTCATTC